TGCCATTACGCCATTGATGCCACAGCCGTTTGCTTTCCCATGCTCACTTGATAATTCATGCTGGTTCAAATGGACATGTGATTATGCTGTGATGTAAGTCTTCACAAGATCTTGCCCTCTCTTACATCAGGCACTTTATTTTAAGATTTCATGCTGCACTGTAATGGGAATGATCTGTATTTAATAAATCATTGAGGACATTGGGTGAGAGGTAACGGTGTAGGTTTTCATACGTATCTGTCATACATATGTGATGACATTATGATATGATTTATTGTCATTATTTACAGAATGAATCATTCTTATACTCCTTTTCTGACTTTCTGTAAGCTGTTGCCCAAAATAAGTGTGGTGCGCACTATTAGCAAGAATAAATTTATAAATGTATTCCTTTTAACTGCTCTGAACCACTGTGACTCATTTTATCCAGCAATAAAACTGTCAATCCATGTGACATTGTTCATTTTTTACCATATTCAACTGACCAAAGCAGGGGATGTTTTTTTTTAACTGGCTGTGATAGCGCTGTGTGACACAGACCACAGGTACACACCTGGGTTTTGTCACAGGGGAAAGAGCAGTCACATTTTTCCACATCAGCTGAAGGTCAAGTTCAGGTATAAAAGAAGGAAAGCAGCACTGGTTCCTGCACAGACGTTTTGAGACTGCAAACATGCTCAGGTTTTTGGTGTTGACAAGTCTTGCAGCCTTGGGTAAGAAAATGACAGCAGACATTGTGCTATATAACCATTCATTATTGATCCGTCTGTCTCGTTTTATTTCATACTCACTCAGTCACTCTTTTAGCGTCAATCATTTTTCCTTTTCCCAAAAGATGAAAGCAAATAACATTTTCAGATCTCTGTTAATGTGTATAAACTGATCTTTTTTTTTTAAACTAGTGCTGGCCGAGCCCAAGTATCTGATGAACATTGATCAAAGGGTTGTAGGAGGTGAGGTGGCTGCACCCAACTCCTGGCCCTGGCAGGTAACCCAGTGTGACACATTCGATTGATTTTCACAATAAAAATGAAAGCATGTGGTCGTTCAGAGCCAAAATATCAGATTGTTAAATTAAACTTTAATTAAGCTTGAATGTTTTTACACAGAGATTTCTGTTTCTCCCTTAGATCTCTCTTCAGTACAAATCTGGCAGCTCCTACTACCACACATGTGGAGGAACTCTGATCCAGAGAGGCTGGGTTATGACTGCTGCTCACTGTGTGGACAGGTAACAAAATGATGAACTACAGGCTCATGCAGTATTCTTTGGCTGTAGGAGTTTTAGTTTTATTTGGGCTTATTATGTCATTTATCATGAAGTGCTGAAGAGGACCCAAATGCAAGGCGCTGGAGGCAGGCTTGAAAAACAAAAGGCAAGGGGTTTATTTTGGCTGATGAACTCCAGAAAAGAGAACAATCATAAATCCAGCAGCTGGTAGGAATGAGTAGGGGTGATAGGTTATAAGTATACAGAGGGGTGACTGGTGAAAAGACACACTGGGGGAGAATGGGAGGCAGCTGAACACGATAAAAACTGAACACAATTAAGGGGGTTAAAGGGATACAGACAGGAAGTAAAACTGAAATAGGAAAGAAAATAAAATAAAATAAACCTACAAAGGATAAAACAAGATATAACCAAAGGGGACTAATCCTAACCTAAATGCCAAGACCTGACAACAACTAAAGGATAAGAAAATAAAAAGAGACTGACATATAAACTCGAGAGAGAGGATGATGACAGCAATCTAGAAATCTTAGAAGTCTAGAAACACAAAGAACTAAATGAATCCCTATGAAAGCATAAAGGAAACAGAAACCAGCGACCTAAAAAGAAGCAGGGTCAGACTAGAATGTAGAAATAAAAACAGTATCCACACCCTAAATACAAAAACAGAAAAAACAATGGACATAGTAAAACTAAGGAAAACCAACAAGGGCCCTCAAAACCAATATAAACTCCTCTACAGTAGAGGGTAAAATGAAATTCAACCCCTGACTTGAAAGTCAATGGGTTACTTCTAACCGAATACTTAGTTATGATTTATTTTCGTGTTTCATAAAGCCACCAGCATGAGGAAAAATCTTACAACCTCATTTGTAACTGTCACATCGAAAGAAAATTTGATTTAAAAGAAAAGCAAACAACATAAATCAAACATAAACAAGAGTATACTGCAGTGAAATCCAACTTATTGATTGCTAACAATGTTGTGTTTGTTTTTGGATGTTTCTGAAACACTGCAGCCCCCGGACCTTTCGTGTCATTCTTGGTGAACATGACCTCAACAGCAACAGTGGCAGAGAGCAGGTCATAGCTGTCAGTACCATTTATGTCCACCCCCAATGGGATGCTAACAAACTGTCTCAGGGGTGAGAAGTACCTTTATGTCTTGTATTCCTAAGCATTTTTTAAATTGTTTGTTTGTAGCTATTTATAACCTTATTAAGTAATATTATGTTTGGCAAATGTGTTGATTTGGGGTCTGAATGTTACATTATGGATGTAGTGGGTCAAGGATATGAACAAAATTCGCCTCCCAGAACTATTTTGGTTAGAGTTAGACAATTTTAGAGGCTTTACAAAACAAATTTTGTTAACTCTCTACCTTAGGAATGATATCGCTCTGCTGAAACTGGCCTCAGATGCCACCCTGAACAATTATGTCCAGCTGGGCTCTCTGCCTCCCTCTGGCCAGATTCTGCCCAACAACAACCCCTGCTACGTCACAGGATGGGGGCTCACTGCCAGTGAGTTGTCTGTATGATCTTCTGTCAATATCACTGTCATCACTGGGTGTCTTCTGTAAAGACTAATGTACCTTACCATTTTATTTTGTGCAGCCGGTGGTAGCCTGTCTCCTGAGCTCAAGCAGGCCTACCTACCTGTGGTGGACTATGAGACCTGCTCCAGCCCTAGCTGGTGGGGCAGCACTGTGAAAAACAACATGGTGTGCGGTGGTGATGGAATTGAGGCTGGATGCAACGTGAGTTTCATTCTACAAAAAAAGAAGAAAACTATGCTGCCAGAAAGAAATACAGGATCATTTTACATAATTAAAATAATACATCTTTTTTTTTCCAGGGTGACTCTGGTGGCCCTCTTAACTGCTTGGATGGTGGAAAATACTACGTGCACGGTATTGCCAGCTTCGTGTCTGGTCTGGGATGCAATACTTACCAGAAGCCTACTGTCTTCACCCGTGTCTCCGCTTTCATTAACTGGATAAACACTGTTAGTATAAAAGGATTTTATTATCAGAGATATTTATGAAATTATTACAACTAAAAATGTTTTATTCATTTATTGTTATATCTCTAAGGTTGCAATGCTTAACCAATTTGAACGTTTTCTGTTTTATAGATCGTCTAGTAAGGACAAGAATCGTTGACGCTGCAGAGACCGCATTCCATCATATTTTCATCTGTACAGACTCACTTGTCTGGTGCAATTCTGCAAAAATAAATGTAATTAACTTTGTGTGATGACTCATTTATCATCAGAAAGTTTATGCAATGGAAATGCCATTAAAAAGGTCATTTATTTAGGCTTAGACATCAGTCTATTCTACCCTGCAACAAGATGTGAATCAAGGACATTGGGGGAAAAAGAATTAACTATCATTTATGAAAGCACGTAAATTATAGTGTTGACAGTAAATGCTTGGATACTGATGGAAAGTATAGAGGCACTATTTTTGTCACCTCTGTGATTGCAAAAACTATTTGAAACATCAAAAAAGTCTGAGCTAGACAACAGGTGTATGTCTAACCTCTGCCAAGCACAGCTGAGGAGGACAAAGGTCATCTTTTACTATGAAAAAGAAAAAAAAAGAAATTTAGAATTTAGAGATTTAGAAATTCTGAGATGCCACAGGAATTACAAATTGTAATTATAATTTTTAGCTTTGTCTTTACTCATTTTTTTTTTTTTTGCCACGTTGGATTAAGGTTTCAAAGGGGTTGGAGGACGTACTGAGTCACTGCTGGACATTATCAGGCACGGGACAAGGCCTGGGTGTAGCTCTTTTCATCTATTCATTTCAAGTTTATTAGTTAGATTAGGATAAAAATCAGGTGATTTGATTAAGTTATTCTTGGTATTTGATTTTTTTTTACATTGCCCACCTAAAATGCTTAAATTGCCACAGGTGTAAAAAAGTCATTAGCAGGAGCTCAGGGAATTTGGACCTTCCCTTTAAACAGAGAGTCCAGTCTGACAACATGTAACAAATGACATGGTGATATTTAAGATATATTTAATATTATAACTGATGCATGTCCTTTAGATTTCAGTACTGGCTGAACTGTCTATACAGAAAGTAGTATAGCAAGAGCAGCTGTGGGAGCAAAAGAAGTGGCTTATGTTGCCTAATGGCCTTGACAAGTTAAGTTTCACACACTAGCTGAATCAGGACTGTGAAAGGTGCTAGTGCTAGTTTTGCCCTTCAGTACTGGTTGCAGATGAATCTACAGGTGGAAAGAATCTAAGATGCTCGTCTTAAATCTGTTTTATGATACTTACACAACTCTCAGTCTGTATTGCTTTGTTTTTCTATGACACACATTCTTTGTGTTCATGTACACATTTGTTTTACCATCAGGAATTTGAGATAGCTGCTTTCCAAATGTTAGAAGGTTCTAGAGCTAAGGTATATATATATATATATATATA